TCGTCTCATCATCATGGAGCAGCTTATGCGAAGGCTAGCCAAGCTTGCTTGGCGATGCCAACGCGGAAAAGCCTATAATAATAATCTGGGGCCCCAACAGCAAGCCATTTTCCTAAAATATTTCACCGGGGGACACCCCCGGGCCACCGTCAGATTTTTCTCCCTCCAAGTGTGGCAGCCCAAGTGTGGCAGCCCTGTAATGGCATACCTCCATGGTAGCTTATTTGTTGTAGGTGGCAAAATGATGGCAAAGGCAAGGCATGCTAAATCAGCACCAGAAACCAGCAAAAGCGACACTGTCACACACAGCTCTCAGCTGCAGAGCACCATCTCGGTGAAATCACCCTTTTGCATTCTTCAACCAGCATCATCATAGTGCACACTCTGGTTTGCACAGGGTTGGAATTGGTAGTAACTGGCACGGGGTGTTGGCACATCAGAGCATCGCAGCGCACACTCTGGTTTGCACAGGGTGTTGGCACATCAGAGAATCACAGTGCACACTCTGCCTCTCTAGTTTGCCCAGGGTGTTGGCACATCAGAGCATCGCAGTGCACACTCTGCCTCTCTAGTTTGCCCAGGGTGTTGGCAACTGGAAACTAGCATCACAGTTCAGGCTTTCATCACAGCAGATGACACAAGCGATTGGCAAGGCTGCCCGACTCGCCAGGATATTGGCTAGAGCTCTTCACCTGGAGTGAGGTGACCTATTATAGCACAATGGGAACACTCCATACAGCTGAGCGATAGGTCCAGCTACAATAATCACAGCATAACGAAAACACTCCACACAGCTCAGCTACAGGTACAGCTACGGGAAGGATGAGAGCTCCACTGCAGCTTTATAGTCAGAGAGCATGGTGGATAACACGATGGTTAACACCACAGGTCGACGGTATTCCACACTTTGCACCAGACTACGCGTGCTCTCTAGACATTGCGTACGACTTGAGAGGGAGCGAGAGATCACGCATGTGTTCATCATCATCAACATGTTATTCTGCTTAGTTCAGCAGGTAGGTGGAGAGACAGCGGTAAAATAATCGCGGAACAGTGCTACAACACGCCTGCACACACCGCTGCAAAAATCACTTCGCCAAAGTCAACACTGTTCTATTCTCACCATTCACACCTGGTATATGGGTGGCTGGTGCTAATTGGCTAAGGTGTATGCTTGAGGGTGGGTGCAATAGTGCAACATGACAACCTATGCTGAGGTTTCAATTCTCCCCCTGTGCAGCCACGTTCAGCGCCTTACCTCTGGTCAAAAATCGCGCATCGCGCAAGCACGGCATTCAAAAATCTCATCTAAAAATAACGAAGGTCAAGTAGTAGCAGTTTGCCGTGTAAAGATGACTCCACATCAGTCATCACAGCAACAGCACGTTGGCGTGCTGTGGCAGTGTGTTGAGCTTGGTGTGAGAGTGTGTTGGTGGTGTGAAACTCGTGCAAATACGAGTAAATCAGGGTGACGAAAAGTCTCAAAATTCTCATTACTCGAGTCACAGTGCGCACTTCTGAAGTTGCCGCGGTCATGGCTCAACTTACGAGCGATTTATCTCAAGCGCTGCTGCTGGCAGCACTTCGTAGATTGCTTTTACCCACAGCTGAGAGTGTTCTCTTCGATCTGGATATTTAAATTATTGAATTCGAGCGAGATTTGACGGAGTTATGATCCGTTGAAGTTTCGCATTTGAATGCGTCGTGTATGACGCCCGACGCATTCAAATGAGTGCAGGCTAAGATCGCCAGAGTTGAGTGAAAGGCCTGAACACAGTCCCTGAGGACAGCAGCACAGCAATATAATACACTGCTTCATCACTACATGCACAATTACTTACTTCAATGGAACGAACTTCTGTGTCCGCTCGTCCAGAATGTAGCGTAGCTTGTGGTGGATGAGAAAGCGAGCACGGCGAGGCTGTAAACATGAGTGGACAGAAGAAGAAGAAGGAGAGAGAGAGAGAGAGAGAGACGAAGAGGAAGAGAAAGAGATGTCTAACTTGCTAACGCTTGCGTAAAAACAACAACAGGTTAAATGGCTAACGAGCAAGTACACTGACGCTTCGTTTACCTGGGGCAGCATATCCACAGGGTAGGGTTAAATAATTGACAACATTTCACGTTTGAGTCCGCGCATCCAGTGTGGTGATGTCCAACTTGCTTTAGTGGTTACCACGCAGAACGGGCGATTGGCAATGCGTCCCGAAACATCCCTACTATCCCCCCCCCCCCCCCCCCCCCTCCTCCTCCTGCCCCCCCCCCCTTCCTTCATGGAAGTTCGCCAGGTTTGCAAGAACCCAACGTGTGAAGCTGCGGGTCCAAAACCCAAATTATGAAATCAAGAAATAGGTTTGGCCCGATATTCTATCCAAACCTGGCTTGAAAAAGTCCAGATCTCAATTATTTTGGAATACATTGTCGCCATCCACATCATCAGCAGCATCAGCAGCAGAAACAGCATCAGCATCAGCAGCAGAAACAGCAACAGCATCAGCATCAGCAGCAGCATCAGCATCAGCAGCAGAAACAGCATCAGCAACAGCATCAGCATCATCATCAGCATTAGCACTACTACTGAACCGTACCAGGGTGTCTTCATCCGAGTACAACAGTGCACTGGACTCTCCCTCACTGATGGCACTGTCGGTGGGTTCCATGGCATCAATCAGATTCAAATGCTCCTCACTGCTAGCATTCACCACCATCTCATGGTTAGTTCCCCTGCAAGATAACACACACACACACACACACACACACACACACACACACACGCACACACACACAAAAACACAAATCCATGCCCACACCCACCCACACACAAACAGACACACACTTGCGTTGCACTTCTTTACGGTAAGAAACAGGTCGCCTGCCCTGGCGGGAGGAAGAGAATCATATTGGAAAGAACACAGGAAAGATTAGTGTACTTCCTCGAATAGAAGTTGCACATTTATACGCTAAATGTCAGGGCCAACTAAAGCGGTCAGACTTGCAATCGAGTGTGATATAGGCAAAATTCCTCGATTAGAAGATTTCAGTGATGCAGTACGTACTAGCTGGATTCAAATAAGTCTCCTGCTGGACAACTGCAGCTCATTTGTACGCACTACGCCACGCTCCACTGTTTATCAGCATCAACTATGATGTATTTATTGCATTCCCAACTCATCACAACCACGCGCTCTTCAGCCGAACCATACAGACACCAGCAAGGACACTTCCGTTGAGAGATAGTATTGTTCTACGCCTGTCGCAATATTTAGTTCTGAACTATGATGTATGTAAAGAGAAAAGGACGTATAAGTTACTAGTTATGACTAACAGTCCACCAAGGTAACGAGATAATATACAGTCAGATAGTGCGACAACAAGTTAGTCATAACTAGTAACTTGTAGGTCCTTTTCTCTTTACATATTACTATTGGCTCAACATCTGAACTATGATGTAATCCAGGAATTTCACCGTGACAGACACCCACGCAGAAGAAGTCCCAAGCAGCACATTCTGGGCTTGGTTCATGCACTCTTGCCAGTGGTCAACTCTCAAACTAAGGCAGTATCACTCTGGAAGTGAGCATAATCTCCCAAACATGGTAGAAGCCACAGTCTGAGTCAGTTCGGAACCGCTGGCCAGGTAGGCTCTTGTATCACTGCCAATGTTGCACCGATCCTCCCTGCCAAAGGTATGCGATGCACTTACGGGGAGGGATTGTCCACACGTAGCTCTTCCTCGAACACTTCTTCAGTGACGGGATCTCCATACTTGTCCTGATGGAGCACATGAGGGTGAAAACAAAAACCCGGGATTGATTAGCGGTAACACGGTGTGCAGCTCCAAGACGAGCGTGGGGTCAGATCGCCACCGTAAATCCAACACGTCCAAGCAACACAAAATACGGGCCCTTATTGGAATACAGATCAAAGGATGGAGTGCAGAGATGTGCCTTCACATCGAGCTGACAAAACCCGCGCCCTGCCATAGAGCAAATGCAAACACTTGTGCTTGGTACGTACGGTGACTGATAGGCTGCTTTTCATCACAACAAAACGAGGAAGAAGAGGAAGAAAACACTATTTTCAAGCCCCGTGTGAGAGGTCAAGGTCACTGATGACCATGCATGGTGTGAATGTGAGCAATTACATGACACAATGCAGGCAATACGCTGCAGTGTGTCCAGTCGGCTGATGAACACCGGCGAAAAGCTGCAGCATATCACCATTACACATCAAGACCAGCTCCAGCTTTGGCCCCAGTCCAAACTCTAAATAGCCTGTAGTGTCAAGTAGAAGCGGTGTATAGTAACCCAATTGCCCGACCACGTGCTTCTACTGCCTACAGACACCACTCATAGCTTCGATTTTTTGCTGTAGCAAAAGGCTGCACACACAAGGAGTGAAGACAATAGATTTACCTTGAAGACAACTTGATCTGCCGAGTTCAATGGGGCCTTGTCGCAAGTAATATATACACGCCACGCTGGCCGCCAGCGGCACAAAAGCCACAGGCCACCGAGAGTAAATATCACGCCGACATAGTAGAAAAACGTCTGTGCGTGTGTGTGTGTGTGTGTGTGTGAGAGAGAGAGAGAGAGAGAGAGAGAGAGAGAGAGAGGGGGGGGGGGGGGGGAGAGCATTTTTACATATATGAAGACAGGTGCTGTAACAAATGAGGATTCGGACCTCTACAACAACGTTTATGCCTGAAAGCAGGTGCATGATTTAACAAGCAGGTTGTCAGTCTAAAATTTTGCACCGGGAGAAAAATAAGAGAGAGAAAGAAAGAAAAAGAATGTGTCCTGCACCAAAATGGTGGATAAACCCCGTCTGGACAGTGTTTTTAGGGCAGCGATGAAGAGATTATATTAAATAAATCTAGATAACAGAATATAAAGTCAATGCAAATGCGAACAACCCGGCCTACAGGCAGGCTTTGTGCCTCGCAGCATGTACAACATGATCATCAATGGTAGCAAGAGACAAGACAAGGTGAAGAGAGAGAGAGAAAGAGAGAGAGAGAGAGAGAGAGAGAGAGAGAGAGAGAGAGAGAGAGAGAGAGAGAGAGAGAGAGAAGAGAGAGAGAGAGAGAGAGAGAAAGAGAGAGAGAGAGAGAGAGAGAGAGAGAGAGAGAGAGAGAGAGAGAGAGAGAGAGAGAGAGAGAGAGAGAAGGAGGAAGGTGTTGGGTGCTTCGCCATCGGGCTTATCTGCTTGAAGGTATCACATCTACTGTAAAAGCAGAACTGTTCGGTGGTGTTTTATTCTCGGTAACTTCGGTGCCGACAATTTGTACCGAAAATAAAACGCACCGAAAATTTCGGTACAACCGATACTGTATACATGTAGTACTAGTACACTTACCTGGAGAACGGGTTTTACCGAAAATTTCCCTCTACCGAACCGCCGATTTTGGAGAATACCGAAAATATTACACCACCGAAAATTTCTGCTTTTACAGTACATGCACCACACTTGAACACTACCTGTGTTGCTTTTCAGGTGTCATGCCCTTTCTAATTGAAGCACACAAACATGTTGACCAATGGACTCAAGACAATTTGTTTCGTTCGGAAAAAAAAGCATCGATATTTACAGACAGCACCTTGCACACATACTGGTCACTTACTGCACAGCGATTGGTTCGGTAACTAGAGCAATCCTGCAGGCAACACAGAGATAATATCATCAACACCAGCTCTGAGCATGACCGTGCGCAAAATATTGTGAAAAATGATGCGAAAACGATGTTCAGTGTTTTGCAGAGTTATGGGAATGAGCTTGTTAGCTCGAATGCCTTTCTTCTGCGATATTATGCTAGCAAAATCCTGCCTAGTCGGTGGTAGACCTACACTGCATACACGGTACAATTTTCAGCCGATGTATATAGTTCACAACCAGAACATCATTAGCTGATTAGCAGTCGATGCATACGCTTTGCCCACGCCTCCAGAAGAACGAAGTGACGTTTCCACTTTCCAGTGAAAAATTCCGGACAACCTCCTATCTAGTAGAGTGCCGAAACTCTTCCCATTTTTAGCGGAAGTGCTAAAAGTTTTGATTTTAGGCTGTACTTTTCAAAGAATGCAAGAAGACGTCAATTATCTTAAAGCACTGAGTTCCAATTGGATTTCTACTAATTTTCTAGCTCCAGGGAACAGCATCAGCAATGCCACTCCGCTGTCCATAACTACAATCGAAACAGGCAATTAGGGACAAAACCGACCTCTGTCAGGGGAACAATACACTTACTATTTAAATTATACAAAAGAGAAAGAACTTAGAAGTTGCGACTTCGGCGGTAATGTCATGAAGTTGGTTGCTCCAACGAGGAGCACACGCTTCTTGCCGAACTTGACACTTGACTGACTCACGACTGCCATCCGGAGCACACCAGGAGCACGTCGCACCTTCCGCTCGGCAAACCTGAAAGAAAGCACCACTCCCTGCTCAATACACAGTGTTTCGGGGAATTCACCCCTCATCAGTTGAGCTTGAGTAGGCTGAGGAAGATTGTGCCTGAAAAGCACCACTTATATACTGCTCTCCAGGCCAAACCTTCACCAGGGATACAAACTTACAGAGACGCTTTGTTTTCAGCGCGACAAACACCTCGTGAAGCCCCAGGTAAAGAAGCGTGTGCTCCTCGTTGGAGCAACCAACTTCATGACATTACCGCCGAAGTCGCAACTTCTAAGTTCGTATTGTTGTCCCTCACGCGGACGTGCGACTAGTTGTTGGAGGTGACAGCGTTGTGAATAGCTATACTGGCTCTCAACGTCTGTTTAGCACAACTCCATGAGCGACTCTGACTCACGCTGCTACCTGGGGCTTCACGAGGTGTTTGTCGCGCTGAAAACAAAGCGTCTCTGTAAGTTTGTATCCCTGGTGATGGTTTGGCCTGGAGAGCAGTATATAAGTGGTGCTTTTCAGGCACAATCTTCCTCAGCCTACTCAAGCTCAACTGATGAGGGGTGAATTCCCCGAAACACTGTGTATTGAGCAGGGAGTGGTGCTTTCTTTCAGGTTTGCCGAGCGGAAGGTGCGACGTGCTCCTGGTGTGCTCCGGATGGCAGTCGTGAGTCAGTCAAGTGTCAAGTTCGGCAAGAAGCGTGTGCTCCTCGTTGGAGCAACCAACTTCATGACATTACCGCCGAAGTCGCAACTTCTAAGTTCGTATTGTTGTCCCTCACGCGGACGTGCGACTAGTTGTTGGAGGTGACAGCGTTGTGAATAGCTATACTGGCTCTCAACGTCTGTTTAGCACAACTCCATGAGCGACTCTGACTCACGCTGCTACCTGGGGCTTCACGAGGTGTTTGTCGCGCTGAAAACAAAGCGTCTCTGTAAGTTTGTATCCCTGGTGATGGTTTGGCCTGGAGAGCAGTATATAAGTGGTGCTTTTCAGGCACAATCTTCCTCAGCCTACTCAAGCTCAACTGATGAGGGGTGAATTCCCCGAAACACTGTGTATTGAGCAGGGAGTGGTGCTTTCTTTCAGGTTTGCCGAGCGGAAGGTGCGACGTGCTCCTGGTGTGCTCCGGATGGCAGTCGTGAGTCAGTCAAGTGTCAAGTTCGGCAAGAAGCGTGTGCTCCTCGTTGGAGCAACCAACTTCAAAAGAGAAAGGACCAAGGAACTACAGGTTACGCTATACTGTCTATGTTACTGCATGAGCTGATTATTTAGTAACTGGTGGTGTTACCGGACAGTATAGCGTAACTTGAAGTTCCTTGGTCCTTTCTCTTTTGTATAAATTAATCCTTGGCTCTCCATCCGAGTCCATTACTATTTAAAGCACTTTCAAAATAAAATTCACTGTGACTACACACCATCCCAGCCACATCTTCGAGAAACACATGTGGGTCCAGGAAATAGGTTAAAAGAAATTCCTCAACAAAAATATGGTACGGTACGCGTGAGGCTCGGTACAACTGAATTTTCCGCATGCGTAGGAACGTCACCATCCTCATGGACCAATACACAGATGCAGCTTTCCTCCACAAGCTTGCATACAATGTCCAGAATTGCTAAGAAAAATCGGATTTGGACCAGTAAAGGTTCAATAAAAACAAGAGTAAATGAAACCGGTCTTCATGTACTCGTGATAATAATAATAATGTTGAACGGCCTCTGCTGGGATGACGACTACACCATAGCTCTGTGGTTAGAGCATCGCTGGCTACAAGCGAGGGTCCCTGGTTCGAGTCCTGGTGGTGACAGTCAATTTTTTCTTCAGGCTTTTCTGTTTGTCTCAACCCAGTTAATAATAATAATAATAATAATTTGAAACTAGGACGGAGGCAGAAAATATTACAAAAATGTATTATCTACGCATGCATCTACGCAAGAATCACCACCAGCCAATTAGGACATGTGTCAAAGTATTGAACGCTTTCGTTCCCTTCTTCTCAAAATACAACAGGGAATGATGGAAATACGCTAAGAGACTACAACTATAAAGAAAAGAAGTTCATAGATACATCACTCCAATTATGTGTAGAAGTGACACGAAAAAAATAGAAGTGAAGAGTCAAGAAAACAGTATGCAAATCCAATAAGTGACAAAAACGTGGTGACAAGAAAAAAAATCAAGAGATCATGAGATCTATTTCGCACCTTCATCTCCTTTCTCCTTTTCCTTTCTTCATCATAACTATATTGGCTCACCATCCGAGTTCAACTTTGCACACCTGATGAGCCGTCATGACCTATACGGCGAAACGTACGTCGTGTGGAACTACTTTTTATTGTACATAACTAGTCCATCATACATGATAGTGGAGTTCAGTAGGATGTTGGCGTTTCGGTTTGTCACAATTCGTCTTCGCTTAGCTTCCCCTTCTATGTTTATTACATAAACTTGAGCCTCCCAAGTTGGGTGGTCTGTTGCTTTGCGTCATCGAGTTGTAGTAAGGCCGGTCTGTCCAATAGTCTTACTAGTTTCGTCATCATCCAGTAACTTTCGGCATTATTTGTTGCCGTGATGCGTAGTCTAGTCGACATGTAGTCATGTACATTTGCATGCACAATAAAAAAAAACATTTTGCGGTCGGGTGACCCGAAACAACGAATTAATTCTGGGTGGCCTTATTATTAATTTTTGAAACAAGATCTAGGCGCCAGTCATTACCAGCTGCTAGCTCCAGCTACTCAACTCACCCTTCATACAGCACGAAAACACAATACTCAGTACCTGTTGGCCTTTTTTAAAATTCTCAACGAAATAGTTCCCTTTACCAAGTGGGGGCATGAGCAGTTTCTCACTGAACATTCCTTCCTCAGGGAGCTCTATCCCCGTTGTTCTTCTTGAGCCACAAACACTCACCAGCTCCCTCTCGTCGTCATCCAGCACCTCCTCTTGCTGCTTGCTCCCAGTTTTCTCAGTCTTAGACGCCATTGTCCCTCAGCCTTCAAAACACCAACTATTTAGGATCGCTAGCTAACACCAGGCCCTTCTTGCAACGCCATAATAAACACTACATAGGCTTGGAGTTCATTACAGAAAAGGCTTCTTTCCTCGTCACCACTCCAGCTAGCTGAGTTCTGCACCGGAGCTCGGAGGTGGCGAAGTACAAAATAATTATTATTTTCAAGAAACAGCAGGAAGTCAAAAACAAAAATACAATGACATCAAGAGTGCATAAACTGTTTATGGACTCTTCACAGTACTTTTGATGACATCAAGACAAGAGTACAGTCATGTATGTACCATGTACATACCGTACCGGCCGGTACTCTTGATGATGCGTAGATCTACATGTATGTAGTTCATAAAAAAGCGTAGATCTAGCTCCTACCACGTTGAGCCTCTACTCGTACTCTAGTACTAGTAGTAGTCTCGATCTCATACCCAAATCGGAAAATTAAAGGGAAACTGAACGCCAAAAATAAGTATGGCTTATCCGAAGGAGAATTGGGCACTGATTCCGATGAGCTATGTCTCGAGCCGATCAGAGAAGAGGAACTGTGTCAAATTTCATAAATAACACCTCCCATATTTGGAAATTGGCCTTGATGACGTGCGTACTGCTTAGCTGTCACCATGCTGTGCATGTTCAGCAGTGTAATTGAATGGAAGAAAACAATTACTTTGGTGTTTTGCAGCTCTGTTTCGTTCCCTGACGGTAACCAAATCTAGATGTAGGAATCTGTTGAGCAGGAGAGTGACACATGTCTTCCCGAAGTTTGTCCAGGCTGCAGTGGTGATGAAGAACGGACACGACCATCACCCCGAGATCGATCGTAGCGAATTGGAAAACTCATGGTGAATTATTTGCTTCCACTCCAAGGCAATATCGAGGTATGAAGGGTGCTTGTACTGCCTTCCAAAGTGAAGAGGAGATGAACATGGCTTTGCATAGCTGTTGTTCTATGCCAACTTACCTACTCTTGCTGGTACCGTAGTGGCATATTGCAAATTTCGTGGACGAACAACTCTAGTCACTAGTGGCTAGTGAGCAACAATAACAGGTGAGATTTTTCAATTCGACAAAAATTGTTTTTGTTTGAGAACTGACAGTGGCAGTCATTAGACTCAGTAGGTGTCTCTCTGCTGCTTCTTTCCCATCATCGGTAGGGTTGTGCTTGAAGTAAAAATAAATAGAAAATGTGGAACAAAAATCTGATCATGTAATTCGAATTTGAACTTCAAAGTATGTGTACATCAAATCACAAAAATGACTGTCAAGGTAGTGCTGTGCATTGAAAAAGACTGGGAGCTGGCAGCAATGGAAAGGGTAGAAACGAAATCAGTAATGCAGAGTATTCACTCTGTCAATTTTCGCATTGCTCTAAAGGCTCATTACTCTCAGCATAGATATTCTCTGACTGGAATTCCGAACTTTTCCGTTTGAGAAATTTTTTTCCTTGAAATTAATCCTTGCTGGGGTTTTCTTTTCATCTAAATGTCCCGCTATTATCTGCAGAGGTGATTTCTTCCCTCGTCGATTTCTTTCCTGCTTTTATACCTCGATATTTAGGTACTTGTTTCCCTTCTTCCCATGCTTCATCTTCCACTCTCCTCTCCCCATTTCCCCATTTTTCTTGCGATATTTATGTGGGAGACTTCCGTGATAAGCATCCATTTGCTTTTGGAGAATCCTTTTAAATAAATACAATACAATACAATAAGGTAGAGGGAGATGAAAACGGGAGAGGAGTAGTGAGCACTTCAGTTTGAAGTAGTGTCAATAGACAGCATCGTGTTGCATACGTTGTGAATATTGTGTGAATCTAATAATTGTCACGAAATTGATATCCAAAATTATTATCCCCTGAGTAGTATTATGGTGTTCTCCTGTGTTTACATGCAGAGCCTTGACGTTGCTGGACGAGCGACAATATAAATTACATAAACATGTCGCTCGTGATGTGGGATGACTGCCGTATCGCATTGCCTACGCAAACCCATCCTGTGTCAGTGCAGCCATCCAGCAACTTGAACTCCCCGGACCAGATGCCGCTGCAGCTGAACACCATGCCGATGGAAAGCCAGGAGTTGATAGCGAAGCATTCTGGTCTGCACAGTACAAGGCAAAGAACAATTATGAATTATAATGCATTGTAATCTTTCCCACACTTCTTTGTAAAAACAAACAAACAGTGCCATTATCACAACACTTGATCAAGCATCTTGATGGAGGTATTTTCCATTGTGCTGGCTCAGCATCTGCACCAGGAAGACCATGTACACTTACACGTATCTTGTGTGTGTGTGTTCGTGCGTGTGTGTTTGTGTATCTGTATGTGCACACGTGTGTGTGTGGGGGGGGGGGGGGGCACGCACATGTGTATGGGTAGGAGTGTGTGTATGTGGGGGGGGGGGGGTACACGCACATGTGTATGGATGTGCGCGCTGCATCCGTGTGTCTGTGGGATGGGGTGGGGGTGCACGCACATGTGTACATGTGTGTGCGCAATACAGCATGTGTGTATGTGTTCGTTGAACACAGGGTGTACTCCTGATTACATAAACCTCGTGATCATTGTGATTTCATGTGCTTTGAAGTTGAACTTCGCAATACATGTACTGATGCTTGATTAGATTTATGTTCCACATGTTCTATTTATTTTATTTTACTTCAAGCACTTGTACTATTCAAGCACAACCCTACCAATGAAGGGAAAGAAGCAGCAAAGACACCTACTGAGTCTAATGACTGCCACTGTCAGTTCTCAAACAAAAACAATTTTTGTCGAATTGAAAAATCTCACCTGTTAGTGTTGCTCACTAGCCACTCGTGACTAGAGTTGTTCGTCCACGAAATTTTATGCCACTACGGTACCAGCAAGAGTAGGTAAGTTGGCATAGAACAACAGCTATGCAAAGCCATGTTCATCTCCTCTTCACTTTGGAAGGCAGTACAAGCACCCTTCATACCTCGACATTGCCTTGGAGTGGAAGCAAATTCACCATGAGTTTTCCAATTCGCTACGATCGATCTCGGGGTGATGATCGTGTCTTCTTCATCACCACTGCAGCCTGGACAGCCTTCGGGAAGACATGTGTCACTCTCCTGCTCAACAGATTCCTACATCTAGATTTGGTTACCGTCAGGGAACGAAACAGAGCTGCAAAACACCAAAGTAATTGTTTTCTTCCATTCAATTACACTGCTGAACATGCACAGCATGGTGACAGCTAAGCAGTACGCACGTCATCAAGGCCAATTTCCAAATATGGGAGGTGTTATTTATGAAATTTGACACAGTTCCTCTTCTCTGATCGGCTCGAGACATAGCTCATCGGAATCAGTGCCCAATTCTCCTTCGGATAAGCCATACTTATTTTTGGCGTTCAGTTTCCCTTTAACCCTTTACCGGTCTACCATAAGCGTACCGATACTATAGTATCGGTACGTTTGGCCCTCATTTTTTTGGAGTCTTGTTGCTAGGAGACAGCTAAAATGGCGCTCTACGCGTAGCTGAGGTCCAAGGCTTTCTGACGATGTGCAAAACAACCATGCTTACCATACAAATTTTTGCCGTATCGATCGACTGAAGTTTGTTGAAATTGGAAAAGACGACCATCCGCCATGCGCGCATTTCAAGAATGCGAGTGCATCTCTTGGGGCCGTGTTTGACAAGCGTTCTGAGAGCAGTAACATCACCAGTCCAGGCTGGATGTCCCGGGAGGTTTTGCAGTGTAGTGTGTTGAGAAAAAGAGCTCCGTTGAGTCCTGCTAGTTCAAAAATATATCGTCCACGAATGAAGAAACAAAATTCTCCAAACAGAGAGGAAGCCTTCTTGCTGCCGACACGGCGACAGCGACTGTCACAAGGACTCGTCAGGTGCGATCAGCTGATTCGCCTGGCCGTGAGAATCACGGCATGCGTAAGCTCGCGCCTGAGTACTCATCTGAGCGAGAGTGAATCTGACGCGAGCAGCGCTGAGATGAACAAACCGAAACTGCGATATCGTGGAATGGGAATTGCTGCTGCTGGCGTATCGCCGATGGCGAGGTGTTGGTGTTCAATGGCGGTATTGTAGAGAGCCTACATTTCTTGTAAAGACGTAGCCCTTACCTGATTGTTTATCGTACGACTTCAGCTCCATCACGAACTTGGTATGCCCTTCGTGCAGTGAGATTCGTGTATTTCATTCGCAATTGTATTTTCTCTCAACTTGAAGGGCTGCCATGGGCCCTATCCTTGCCTGGACCTAGTCATATTTGAATTTTCTGGACGCGTTCAGGCATACAGGTTTTGAAAATATATGGTTTACCCATACCTACATCACATAGTTCTTGAGTTATTGCTGGTTGTGTGTACATGTATTTGCGTGACCACCCCTCACATACATTGAGTTAGACCGGCAAAGGGTTAAAACGTCCATTTTGACAGCATGGGTGGATCCATGGAGGACACTCGGGACATCACGAATTTCGTGAAGGTGGAGGACACTAGTCACTCGCGACATCACCAACCTCGCCTACAGAGAGCACCTAAGTCCTTCTCACGACAGTGTCATGGTGGTGACAGTGACTGTTGACAGCTGACGTTAAGAAAAAAACAATTCAGGTTAAAGTAGCTAGATGAATATCGATCAGGACGACATCCAGGAGCGATCAAAGAATACACTAATTTGGCAATGAAATAATATTTTTAATTTTTTACTGAAGTACAAAAGAAATCAAGTATTGAATAGAAGAAGTATTGTTTTCTCTTTTCCATGTTGACCTCTTACATGCATGGACACCTTGGTATGGGGATATAATACTCATTTACATGTATTTTGTTGTACTTATGGCCACTTGCAACTTGCAAGTACGAAAAAAGGCACAATTTCCCGAACTTTGAGGCTCCCGATGATAAGGCCATGGTAAAAAATAAAGTTGATTCTCAGGTCATGAGCCTGTGAAAATCGGTGCGAGCGAGCGATTTTTTATTTTAATTCCCACAATTTTTTTAGTTCCAAAGATAGGGTCACACGTACATGTGTACGTCACAGGTTCATAATTAATTTATAATTATTTTATTATTCAGGCCAGGGAGTAGAAAAATACCGGTATTGTACTACTCCCGGATTCATGCATAGGTCTGTGGGAAACACCCTAGTAAAATAAAAGTTAATAATAATAATAATAATAATAATGCCTT